CACAATTTGTGTAATTATTATACATCTTTGCACAATTAATACAAGAAAACTTGCTATATAATTACCTCAACTTGCACAATAACAATCAATACACAAAGGTATAAATAAACAATTCGTCTGTATGCAATTACACAACATGCGCAATTAATACACAACTTTCACATATATTACACATCTTTCATAATTATTACACAACTCGTATAAATACATATCTAGCACAAATACGTACAATACATAACTACCCCAAATATGAAAATACACAGCTAGCATAAATACACGATTTACACAAATACAATTGCGACATTTACACAACTTGATCAAAAATATAATCAATACACAACTTACCAAAATATGAGCAATACATAACTAGCACATATTCATTAAATACTCAACTACACAATTTCCACAAATACACATACAAAAACATATACAATTAATACATACAACTTGCACGATTTATAGAAATATAATCAATACATAATTGCAATAATCTTACAACTTATGCAAAATACATAATCTGCACAATTCATACACAAGTATATTAATTGTGCTATATATGTACAAATACAAACACAACCAACTAGGTCAAGCAGTACATAATTTGCATGATATTTTTCTAGGTATATTTAGGACATCAATTATAATATGCTGAGTTAAACCAACTCCCCAAAAGTTAGAATTTCACATATACAAATGGCGCATATAACTTCCGATGAGCTCAATATAAATCACATTCATTTTCCATTAATATTTCAACATTATTAGTGCTAAACTATTCATCTAACATATGTCCATTGTTTGTAACGTCTTATTAATACCTTCCTTGTTACACCCTCTCCAATCAAGCCACCCATATTTATTTATGCAAACCATCTAACAGACTTATATGTTCTAGCCTTAGTTATGTTAGGGCAGGTGGGGTTAGGGGAAGGCAGTATTTTGTATGATAATTTTAAGCAAATTTGCTATATCTTATCAAAATGCATCCTATTAAAACCTAAATTCATCTAAATCTATCAACAAATATACTTATACTACACAAATTTGACAAAATTCAACCTAGCAAAAGCTAAACTAACTAAATATGAGCATCCCATATCCTCACATACAAGCCTATGTCACCTCTGTCCAAACTTACATGAGTTGGCCATATAGCTCGAGCCCCAAATAGGAAAATTTACACTATTTCATAAACATGCTAGTTCATTATCCCTAATATATTATATATATATATATCCTTCCGTACACGACCTCACCTAACCTGACCTAGCATATCCAAACCTAGATTTAGTTCAGGTTGGTGAAATTTAAACTATGCCATTTAAATTTGACCTAATTTAAGGCAATTTCCACCAAATATACCCAAAAATATTTTGTAACATAGCACGGCCAAAGCTCATTTTAGCTGAGTTTTCACCTATTCCAACCTGCCCTAGACAACCCTACCCAGCCTCTCCTGGCATATCCAAAGTTAGATTTGATTAAAGTTGGCGAAATTTATGCCTTTCCCACTTAAATTCAACCTAATTTAAGCCAATTTCCACCGAATTTACCCAAATGTTTTGTATCTTAGCATAGCCAAAGTTCATTTCACATAAGTTTTCATCTATTCCATCTTACCCTTGTGACGGTAAAGCGTTGGTGTTCGGCTGTTTCAAAAGCTGGGGGCAGGGCCTCGTCACATCACAAAAAAAAAGAGAAAAGTTTGTCCTTTCGTCTGTGGTAAGGTAATGGGAAGACACACAAAACACAAGTATATAAACAATGAAATTTTAATTACTCTAGAAAACAAGACATGAATAAAGGCAATCTCATAAAATGTAGGACAAGTCAACAAACAAAACAACATGAATAATCACTGGCAAATGAAAAGTTACTCTAAGACAAGAAAGTTACAGTGATAGCAAAATAAATTAATATGTGCAGTGCTGGAATACTGGCTTCAAGCTGCCACCTCCCTTAGTACACGAAAGCCAAGGCTTAGTCTACCAGCGAGAGATGTCAACTTCATGGAGCACAAAGATATTCTGACGAGTCTGGCGTGCTGCTGCCCAGACGACGACTCGTGATGGTGGCGGAGTGCAGGTGCGACGAGACACCAGCCAATCAGCAACAGGCAGGCAGAGGATGAGCAGTTTGCTGGTTATGGCGGCTGTAGCAGGTGTCGGGGTGTGCTTGGTACGATTTGCTTCCTGGGCAAAACGTTTGGTGATACTGGTGGACGTATCTTCTATATAGTATCTTGTATGTACGAAGTAATGATGTAGGGAAGAGCAGGCTCAATCTCTCTTGAAAGAGATTATCGTCACACCCTACACAGCCTTACCTAACCTGACCTAGCATATCCCAAGCTAGATTTGATTAAAGTTCGTGAAATTTATGCTTACTCACCTAAATTTAACCCAATTTAAGACAATTTCTACCAAATATACCCAAAACGTTTTGTTACATAGTACAGCCAAAGACCATTTTTCCCAAGTTTTCACATATTCCAACCTACCCTACATAGCCTTACCTAACCCAGACCTAGCAGATTTGATTAAAGTTGGGGAAATTTGAGTTATCGCCACCAAATTGGAGACAATTTCCACCAAATATGCCTAAAATTGTGTATCATAGCACAGCCAAAACCCATTTTACCCACATTTTCACCCATTCCATCTAAACCTGGACTGAACCTCTGATACGACATATACTCAAAGAAGTGATGTTTTTTTGGATATGAACCTAAATGCCCGTGCCTAACTTGCAAGAGTGTTGGAGCTTTGTTAAATATTTTATCTATTTTCTTCGAACACTGAAGTTTTGGATATGAACCTATCCGTACTGTGCCTAACCTACTAGGTTCTTTGTTGAACATTGTAACCATATTCATAGAAAAGTGATGTTTTGGATATGGACCTAACAGCCCCTCTCCTTTAAAACTTTGATTTGTGTTCAATATTGTAGCCATATTGTTGGGTAGGTGTTTTATTTTTACACATCAACCCAACCGTCCTGGAACTAACCTTCCTTTATCTAACTTCAAATTTATCGTAAATATGAGAGGAACGTGTTGTTTGTGCATCAACCCAACCGTCCTGGACCTAACCTCCCTTTATCTAACTTCAAATTTATCGTAAATATGGAAAAACGTGTTGTTTGTGCATCAACCCAAACATCCTGGACCTAATCTCCCTTTATCTAACTTCAAATTTATTGTATTTATGGGAAGAAAGTGTTGTTTATGCATCAACCCAATCGCCGTGGACCTAACCTCCCTTTATCTAACTTCAAATTCATCATAATATGGGAGGACCGTGTTGTTTGTGCATCAACCCAGTCGTCCTGGACCTAACCTCCATTTATCTAACTTCAAATTTATTGTATTTATGGGAAAAATGTGTTGTTTATGCATCAACAAAATCTCCCTGGACCTAACCTCTGATACACGGATCTTGGTTCAATATTGCATCATATTCGTAGCATTTTTTCACATAATACAACCATCCTCAATCTAACCTCTATTACCTGGTGGAGGGAGGTTAATGGAAAATATGATAATAATGGGAATTTTCTCTACATCAGTTCAACTTAACCATCCTTAACCTAACCTTAGTTAGAAAGGGATATAACTCACCAAAACTATTTAATTACCATTTACCCAATTTTCCTTATCCTAACCCATAACCAGAGGGTTTAGATCCCCCCCTTACCTCGAAATTATACTATATATTTAAGGTAGGAATATATTTTCACATATAAACCTAACATTCCCTAATTTAACCCTATACTATAATTTCAAGGTAAGGGGGGTGTAATATTGTGTAAATGGTATATTTTTGTGTGCAACTGACATATTTTGTATGTAAATGTCATATTTTTGTGTGATGGTATATTTTGAGTGTAAATAATATATTTTGTGCATAAAAGGCATATTTGGCGTGTAAATGCTGTATTTTCTGTGTATGGCATAAATTACATCTGATTAATGGGGAAATGGTGGCAAAAAACTAGGCTATTCTCTATGAATGTATAGGTTGTGGAGTATGTGTAGGTATGTATGCATGTATTTGCGAGTATTGGTTTAGAAACAAGTTACCTGATTTGCAAAGCATGATTAGGATTTTTTGAGGTGTAGAAATTATTAGCCTATGAATATAGTGGCTAGCATCAAGCTGAGTTGCTAGATGGATGAACTGAGGTGCGACATTTGGATAGCTATTTGATGGATGTGAGGACACTTTACTAGCCTATGAACACAGCTACTAATCCGCTGTACTGCCAGATGTGTGGTAACTACTTGTGGATATCTAGTATGATATCTAGCAATAGGATTTCATAATTGCTGTTGTGTATAAAATTAGAATGAGAGCTATTTATTAAAACTATTATTGTAAACTAATACTTTAAGTGGGATCCCTTGGTTGTTTTAAGCATAGGGCGGACATGAATATGAATGAGATTGGGTGGAGATATATAGGAACTGCCTCGTATGGGCCAATAGGACTTCTGCAGGTACCTTTATTCTAATGTTCAGCTCACCTACAATGCTGCCAGATGTACGATTCTGCAAAAATAGCAGTATGACATTTGGGTTGCTGTTATACTTTTGAACTTATCAGTGCTTAATGATTACAGTTGTGGATGACTAAAATACATATTCTTAAACCTCTGATTAGGTTAGGTGGGGATGGCTAGTCTAGCCATTTTTGAATAATAATAATAACATTTAACAGACACTATATGCAAGTTCCATGCCAAAGGACACATTGGCCATCTAGTGACGTCACACATAGTCGACCAGTAAGGTGCTGTGATACCTCGACACTTATATGCTAATGGCCAGCAATACCTTATCCCTATACCTGAGGTTGCTTTTCGTGATGTCACTAAACAACAACAACAATTGGTCTGTAGAATGTATTTGTTTGTTATATAATAAGTTAGGTTAAGATGGTTTGATAGGGTTTATGAAATGAATAACAGAAAATAGGAGAAATGAGCGATAACACGAGCCAATGCAGCTGAATATCGACTCTGATGAAGCACAGGGTACAGTTGAGGTATTAAGCCTGATTAAGAGTTCGCACTTATGTGTGAACCTCCTGGGATCCGCATTTAGCACGTTGATGCCTCGCATCGCAGTAGGGATGATGACGTCAGAAAAGAAGGTAACTGCAGAAGGCCTTATTTCAAAACATGAGAGGCTTGCTTTTACTTAATGAGTATTTTTGATCTGTTATATGCTACAGTAAGATGTGCGAGGTGTGTTTTGAACGAATGTGAGATGTGCATACAGTAGCAGCAATATTGGATTACTACTGAACTTGCATTGAAATCGCCAATGCCCAGGGTCCTGTTTTTTCATATAAATGACTGATAGCAGTTTTCATTTTTATTTTGCCCTATGCGAAATAACCGATCCTTCAAGAAAGATTGACAAAGCTTACATTACATTCTGTAGAAATGCGAAGAAATAGAGGTGACATGATAGAGCTGTGACTGAATGGACATGATAAAGGGGGATATTAATAGGCTATTAAACGTATCAACATGAGCTAGAACATGAAACAATGGGTATAAATTGCATAAGTTTAAGATTTACGAAAAAGTCCTGGTAAATACTGGTTAGGTAACAAGGGGAGAATGCTGAGATACATGATAGTTCTTGCTCTGAGTTGCTCCCCTTTTGATACGTGCAATGACCGATGACTGGAAGTAAATATGATATTTAAAATAGTCTAGGGATGATGGTATTTTACATTAGGTTTCAGGGTCACTGTTGTAACACAAAACACACGACTCATAGACCGGCTGTTTAATCCCTTTGGACGAAATGGGCGGACCTTGAATGCTAGTAAATCTCTCGCTGGGACAACGAAAACGGGCCGAGCCATAGACCGACATTTTAATCCCCTTGAATGTGCCTGTGCATACTCACTGAGCAGACAGCTGATGACGTCACTGACCATTAGTGATGCCTATGCATGGGTCACTGGGGTAACGAAAAATACACGGGCCATAGACCGGCATGGTGAAAAAGATTTGTACAAAACCCAGGGGCCATAAACCGTCATGGTGAAAAAATTCGAGAAAACCCAGGGGCCATAGACCGGCATTGGGAAAAATGTAAATTGCCGGTGTATAGCCCGGTTTCCACTACTGAGGTACAATAGTTACTAAGGAAAAGTGAGGATCTCATCATCATTTTGTTGATGAGACCAGATGCGATCAGTAAGTGAATCAGAGTTTAAATGCTCATTGCTGCTCAATATAAAACGTGTTGTAATAGGCTTCATAAGGCGCCAACCACTGACTATATAAATGCTAGTCAACATAGTAATCAACACGTAACGACGATCAATCTTTTCTTTAGCACCAAAGAAAGCAGGAAGCATTTAGATTCGACAAGAAAAAATCGAATAACTTGTGACTTGTGCAGCACTACCAGCTTCTAGGGAGAAGAGTTCAGCACCGCCAGTCTCCTCTGTGATTAATGCAGCACTGCCAGCCTCCAGATGATTCATGCAGCACTGCCAGCCTCCAGATGATTCATGTAGCACTGCCAGCCTTCAGGGAGACTCGTGCACCACTGCCATTTTCCAGGGTAACTTGTGCAGCACTGCTAGCCTCACGGGAAGACTCGTGCAGCACTGAAAGCCTCCACGTTGACTCGAGCAGAACTGCCAGCCTCTAGGGTGACTCATGTAACACTGCTAGCCTCCAGGGTGACTCGTGTAACACTGCCAACGTCCAGGTGGAATCATGCTGCACTGCCAGCCTTCAGAGTGACTCGTGCAGCACCGCCAGCGTCTAGGGTGACTCGTGCAGCACTGCCAGCCTCCAGGGTGACTCGTGTAGCACTGCCAGCCTCTAGGGTGACTCGTGCAGCATTGCCAGCCTCCAGGGCGACTCTTGCAGCGCAGCCAGCCTCTAGGGTAACTCGTGCAGCACTGCCAGCCTCCAGAGTAACTCGTACAGCACTGCCAGCCTCCAGGGTGACTCGTGCAGCACAGCCAGCTTCTAGCGAGACTCGTGCAGCATGGCCAGCCTCCAGGGTGACTCGTGCAGCATTGCCAGCCTCTGCGTTTACTCGTGCAGCACAGCTAGCCTCCGGGGTGACTCATGCAGCACTGCCATTCTCTATGGTGACTCGTGCAGCACTGCCAGCCTCCAGGGTGAGTCGTGCAGCACTGCCATCCTCCAGGGTGACTCGTGCAGCGCTGGCAGCCTCCACGGTGACTCGTGTAACACTGTCAGCTTCCTCGGTACCTCGTGTAACTCTGTCAGCCTCCATGGTTACTCATGTAGCACTGCCAACATCCAGCTTGACTCGTGCAGCTCAAGGGAGATTCACGCAGCACGGCCAGCCTCCAGGTTAATTCATGTAGCAATGCCAGCCTCCATGGTGACTCATGGAGCATTGTTAGCCTTCAGGGAGTCTCGTGCAGCAGTGCTATTTTCCACGGGTGATTCGTGCAGAACTGCCCGATTCCAGGGTGACTTGTAAAAGCACTATCCGACACTAGGGTGGCTCGTGCAGCACAGCTAGCCTCTACGAAAGACTCGTGCAGCACTGACAGCCTCCAGGTTGTCTCGAGCAGCACAGCCAGCTTCCAGGAAGACTCGTGCAGCATTGCCAGCCTCCAGCTTGAGTCGTTCAGCACTGCCAATCTCCAGGGTGACTCGTGTAACAACCCAGCTTCCAGGGTGACTCGAGCAGCATTGACAGCCTCCACGTTGACTCGTGCAGCACCGCCAACCTCCAGAGTGATTTGTAGAGCACAGCCAGCTTCTAGGGTGACTCGTGCAGCCCAACCAGCCTCCAGGGTGACTCGTGCAGCATTGCCAGCCTCCACGATGACTCGAGCAGCACTACGAGCCTTCGGGGTGACTCGTGCAGCACTGCCAGCCTCTAGGAGTGACTCGTGCAGCACAGCCAGTCTCTAGCGTGACTCGTGCAGCACTGCCAGCCTCCAGGGTGACTCGTGCAGCACTGCCAGCCTCCAGGGTGACTCGTGCAGCACTCCCAACCTCCAGGTTGGCTCGTGAAACGCTGCCAGTTTCCAGGGTGACTCGTGCAACACTGCCAGTTTCCAAGGTGACCCATGCAGAACTACCAGTTTCCAGGGTGACTCGTGCAGCATGTTACGGCCCTACTGGAACGCAACGGGGTTCTACTTTGATGGTATTAGAGTTTGGGTACCCGGCCCCAAGTTAGTAGAGGCTTTCAAGGGGTGTGTTCCGTAACGCAAGTTAAATTAAAGGGGGAGGGATACAAATGTTCCAATTTATATATATATATATACATTCACCGCCACCATAAATAAATATATAACAGTTGCACACGGGGGTTATTACTACACGATTATGTACAAGCTTGTCTTCCTCCGAACACACAGGATGCTCCACGGTGCTCACTTTGGGTAGCCCTGGTTCCTTCTTCCGTGGCCCACGATGAATCCTCTATGATTCTCTTGGCAAATCTACCCTGGCCACAGGCCAGCCAAATCACAGTCCCACTGGGTGCTCCGTCGTGGAGGCCTTCAACCACAATCTAGCTTGTAGCTGGCAGGTACCGATCAGCTCCGCTGTGTAGGCCACTCCACAACTGATACTAGGGTTGCGAGCCCTAGGCAGGAGCCTCGTGTGATCCCGCTGATCACTCTCCTCACTAAGCACCACAATGGCTGGTCTCTTCCACCAGCCAGCCCCGGATAAGGCGATTCCCAACACTGCCACGCCACAGGCATGCTAATACTCTCAACAGAGTTCGTCCGGGGGTGACTCACAGCTTCTTCAAAGCAGACTGGTGAAGAGACCTTGGCTGCCTTGGGTAGACTGATCCATCGTCCAATACAGCAGCAGTCCCAGGTCGACTCTGCAATCAGACATGTCATTAATACTGGGACGCTCTAGGGAACCTCACTTACAGGCTTAGACACAAACGTCCACCTCTTCATTCCATAGATGGCTTTGCTGTCTAAGCGCCACCTCACCAGAGGTCAGCAGCGGCTATGTTATGAGCTGATTAAGACGGAAATCCAGCACCTGTGGCCGGTATAACCCGTCCTCACTAGATGGCGTCGTCCATTTGGAGGGGGTTTCGGGAGCGGACTCACAGATGGCGTTGTTGTCACTGCTCCGTGCTCCGATACTGGACTCGGGTCCGTAACACAGCACTACCAGCCTCCAGGTTTACTCGTGCGGCACTGCCAGCCTCTAGGGTGACTCGTGTAGCACTGCCAGCCTCCAGGGTGACTCGTGCAGCACTACCAGCCTCCAGGTTAACTTGAGCAGCACTGCCAGTTTCCAGGTTGACTTGGGCAACACTGCTAGTTTACAGAGTGACTCACGCAGAACTGCCAGTTTACATGGAGACTCGCGCAGCACTGCCAGCCTCCAGGGAGTCTCGTGCAGCAGTGCCAGTTTCCTGGGTGACTCGTGCAGCATTCCCAGGCTCCAGGGTGACTCCTGCAGCATTGCCAGCCTCCGCCTTGACTCGTGCAGAATTGCCAGCATCTGCGTTTACCCGTGCAGCACAGCTAGCCTCCGGGGTGACTCGTGCAACACTAACAGCCTCTAGGGTGAATCGTGCAGCACTGCAAGCCTCCAGGGTGACTTGTGCAGCACAAACAGCCTCTAGTGTGTCTCATGCAGCACTGCCAGCCTCCAGGGTGACTCGTGCAGCACTGCCAGCCACCAGGGTGACTCGTGCAGCACTGGCAGCATACAGAGTGACTCGTGCAGCACTGCCAGCCTCTAGCGTGACTCGTGCAGCACTGCCAGCCTCCAGGGTGACTCGTGCAGCACTGGCAGCCTCCAGGGTGACTCGTGCAGCACTGCCAGCCTCCAGGGTGACTCGTGCAGCACTGCCAGCCTCCAGGGTGACTCGTGTATCACTGCCAACCTCCAGGTTGGCTCGTGCAACACTGCCAGTTTCCAAGGTAACTTGTGCAAGACTGCCAGTTTCCAGTGTGACTCGTGTAAAACTGACAGTTACTTGGTGACTCAGCCCAGCACTGTCAGCCTCCAGGGTGACTCGTGCTGCATTGCCAGCCTCCGCGTTGAATCGTGCAACATTGCCAGCCTGCGCGTTGAATCGTGCAACATTGCAGCCTCCGCGTTTACTCGTGCAGCACTGCTAGCCTCCGGAGTGACTCATGCAGCGCAGCCAGCCTTCAGGGTGACTAGTGCAGCATTGCCAGCCCCTCAGGGAGACACGTGCAGCATTGCCAGCCCCCCAGGGAGACACGTGCAGCAGTGCCTGTTTGCAGGGTGACTCGTGCAGCACACCCAACCTCCGGGATGACTCGTGCAGCATTGCCAGCCTCCTCGTTGACTCGTGCAGCATTGCCAGCCTCTGCGTTTACTCGTGCAGCACAGCTAGCCTCCGGGGTGACTGATGCAGCACTGCCAGCCTCTAGGGTGACTCGTGCAGTACTGCCAGCCCCCAAGGTGACTTGTGCAGCACTGGCAGCATACAGAGTGACTCGTGCAGCACTGCCAGCCTCTAGCGTGACTTGTGCAGCACTGCCAGCCTCCAGGGGGGCTCGTGCAGCACTGCCAGCCTCCAGGGTGACTCGTGCAGCACTGCCAGCCTCCATGGGGACTCGTGCAGCACTGCCAGCCTCCAGGGTGACTCGTGCAACGCTGCCAGTTTCCCGGGTGACTCGTGCAACACTGCCAGTTTCCAAGGTGATTCGTGTAGCACTACCAGCCTCCAGGTTTACTCGAACAGCATTACCAGTTTCCCGGGTGACTAGTGCAACACTGCAAGTTTCCAGAGTGACTCGTGCAGAACTGCCAGTTTACTTGGAGACTCGCGCAGCACTGCCAGCTCCCAGGGTGACTCGAGCCGCATTGCCAGCCTCCGCGTTTACTCGTGCAGCACTGCTAGCCTCCGGAGTGACTCATGCAGCGCAGCCAGCCTTCAGGGTGACTAGTGCAGCATTGCCTGCCTCCGCATTGACTCGTGCTGCACTGCCAGTTTATGCCTCACCTGTGACAGGATATATGCCTCACCTGTGACAGGATAAAAACATGCTTTATGGAAAACCGGTGCCATTTGTTGGAGTAAAAGCATCACACGCTGTAATCTCCGAAAGTTCTTCACTGATTGCTTTCAAATTTAGACACAACGTCCATTCGAATACGCTCTTGTTTTTATGTACATACTATATATATATGCTACACCTGTGACAAGTATAAACATGCTTTTTTGAAAAACAGTGCTATCTGTTGCACGTAGGAGCAACATTCGCAGTGCTAAACATGTTACAATTCCATTTCAATGTTTCCAATTGCAGTGATAAATTGAATTTTTATAGAATTTTATTTATTTTCATGATTTAATTCTTTTGTGTAACATTATGCTGGAATTGAGCTGCGTTGTTTACCATACTCTTCATTTCATGAGTATGGTTTTTTTTCTTTGTTTTCAATTTTTTTAACTTTTTAACTGTTCTTATTTTTAAGTGATGGGAACATCAGATCATTTGATGTTCCTAATTTTCTGATGATCAGAAAATCATATCAGATCATTTAGCAATTCATCGGACGAGGGAGTGGGGAAGACGAGGGGAAGGGAGAGGGGGATGGTGGACTGAACGAGGGGACAGGGGTGGGAGAAATGTTGGGGAGGACGAAGGGACGGGGGAGTTGTGAATGGTGGGGACTAGGGGATGGGGAAATGAAGAATGGTTGGAAGGACAAGGGGACAGGGGAGTGGGGGATGGTGGGGAAGAAGAGGGGACAGGGGAGGGGAGGAATGGTAGGGAAGGCGAGGGGACGGCGGAGTAGGAGATGGTTGGGAGGACGAGTGGACGGTGGAGTGGGTAATGGTGGGGAGGACGAGAGACGGTAGAGTGGGTAAGGGTGAGGAGAACAAGGGGACGGGGGAGGGGGGTAAAGTGGGGAGGACGAGAGGATGGGGGGAATAGGGAATGGTTGGGAGGACGAGGGGACGGGGGAGTGGGGAATTGTTGGGAGGACTAGGGGACGGGTAAGGAGGAACGGTGGGGAGGACTAAGGGACAGGGAAAGGTTGCTGTGGGTCAGCAAATCAATGCGTTGCTGAGCCACAGAAACACAACCAGACCATCTGGTCTGTGACCTCTGGTCACAGGAGGTTGTGACCTCTTCTCACAACAAGACCATCACCAGAGAAATCCTAACAAACAACACATAAATCATCGATAGATACAGCTATAGCAGGAGGCTCGACATCTGCAAGGCACTACACATAAAAAATCAACACCAGCAATCAACAGCCGATTAACGCACAACTATATTCTACCCACTTCAAGACGCCGTACCAACATAAAAGCAGGAAGAGGAGCTATGGGCCAATAGGCCTTCTGCAGTTACTTTTATTCATATGTTTTCATACCCAATTTATACCCATTGTTTCGTGTTCTGCCATGTGTTTGTCACCTCACCCAAAACTTTTGTGCCATATCACCTCACCCAAAAAAGAGTATAAGTACGATGAATTTGTAAGTGTAAAAAAAAAACAGTTGAATTCTCTCACCACGATTGACAACACCTTGCTTTCCACTCCAATAAGTGTTGTGAACATCTGCGAGATGTGTGTTATAGTTCACAGTTACAGTCACTCCCTCAGTTACTCTTTTAGTACAGTGTAACCATGACTCCCAAGGATATGACTTTTCTAACCATCCTTCTTGAATTATTAACGTCAGAAGGACACAGTGATCTAGTAGCAAGAGCAAGGAAAATTGCTGAAGATGACCCAACCCTCAACGAACCACCGTGGCAATTGGTAGGCAACGGAAAGGCAAACAAACGAAGAAGACCCGAAGAAACGCCCAAAGAAACCAATTTAGAAGCCAACCAGAACTCAAGAGCAGCACCCAAACCAATGCCAAGGACCATCTTCAAAGCCAAAAAAACAGTAGATGGTCCCACTTATGCTTACATTGCCGCACT